ATGCTTCAAATAATACCCGGGACATAGTGAGAAATCAATCATTATTTATTGAATGACATATAAGTGAAGCAATCAGTCTTTCCGGAAAGGTTTAGGAGTGTCTAAGCGCAGACTACTGAAAAACCCATTTAAACTATATTCAATTAAGCTTCTAAACCAACTTGCCCTTGGGGCACTTCCACAACTTGTGATCCTTGAATTCCAAAGTCATCCAGGGAAAAGGCAGCTTCAGATAGACTCCTGATTTATTGCCCCTCCCACTGCTGCACCTCCCTTCCTTTCCTTGATTTTTATGGCTCCAAAGGAGAAGTGTTTAACTAGGATTATTGCCTAGCAACCTAGAATGGCCTGCCACACTAGCAGGCTGCAATGAACAGAGAGAACATTCTAGTTTATTTGTGGGTTTATTAGCGAGCCATGGGTAGGTATTAAGTTGCTGCGTATCTATAACACTACCCTTAACTCAAGCAAGCACATATGTGCCTTGGTTTATGCTAGACAGATTAAGAGGAAAGCAAGAACATTAAAGCCTGCAGGCATAACAATACTTGAAATAGTAAAGATAAAAGGATTATGAGCTAATAAGTATTGTGAATGTTTTAGTTTTGTTTTCTGTTGCTGTGATAAGAACACCCTTAGGAAGGAAGGGGGAAAGAGTTTAGTGGCTCACTCTTCCAAGTCTGCAGAAATGTCCAGGTGGCAGAAACTTGAAGCAGCCGTCACATCGTATCTACAGTGAAAAGCGGAGAGCAATGCAATTAATGCATGAGCTCCAGGGCTCAGCTGGCCTTCTCCACCCACACAGTCTTGGCTCTTCATCAGGAATGAGCCACCCACAGTGAATAGGTCTTCCCTCCTCAGTTATGCAATCGAGATAACCCCCCACAGGAATGCCCAGGGGTTATAGTAGTTCTAGATTTTATCTGGTTGGCAGTCAACACTGACCAGGACAAAACATAGTGGAGGCATACCCAGCCCTCTCCCCCTTCCAAGAGACCACTTCATTTGCAAATCCAACTGACAGATGAGAAAGCCACATGCTACCCCTCTGCAACTTCCTCTGATTGAAATAGAAGATTGGCCACAGAGGGACTAAAAGCCTGAAGAAGGTTCATAAATACCATCCACCATTGGACCCAATAGATGAGCCTTTCTGGGCTTCCTCACAGACTATTTCATTTTTCCCTTGGGAAAATAAGGTAAATTTTATTTTTCTCAGTGCTGACTTTTCTGCAGTTTTTTTTTAAAAGCAGCAAAGCCTTTTTCTAATGAAATCATATAATGCTCTTCAATTATGTGATAAACTGAAGCTTAGCTGCTCTGGCCACACCAAAAAAACCCAAAAAACAAAAAACAAAAAAAAACAACAAAAAAAAAAACAGCTTAGAGACCTGTGGATTCTGTAGCTCTTTTCAGAACCTTAGCACTATAACTCAGAAGTCACTGTCCCACAGTGGGGACTCCATTTTTTAAAGGTGTTTTATTTTGATTATCTTTTTAAGTATATGTATATTCATGTCTCTAGACCTTGTGTGAGTGACTTTAGGAGGCCAGGGGCATCAGACCTCCTAGAACTGGAGGTATAAGTGATTGTGAGCCACCCAACATGGATGCTAGGAACTGAACTCAGGTCCTCTGGAAGAGCAGTACATGTTCTTAACCACTGAGTCATCTCTCTAGTCCCTACAACAGAAACTCTTACTCTTGTGATGTTGATTGGGATCAGTACTTTGGCCAAGGAGGAAACAAAAACCCAAAGGAAGGTTTACAAATCCCATTCACCATTGGACCCAAGATGTTCCAAAGATGAGTGCTCAAGGGTTTCCATAAGTTTATACCAACTTCTAGTTTAACAATATTTCTAGCAAGTGGAATGCTTGTACTAATGACCTTATGTTTTGGGTACTTCCTGTTACTATAAAAGTAAACACAGGCTAGGGTGACTTATAAACAGAATAAATGTATAATTTATAATTATGGAGGCTGGAAAGTCTTACGATCAAGCAAGCACAGATTTAAGGTCTACTTGGGGCCTCAGTCTTTGCTTCCAGCACAGTACCTTGAATGTAGTATCCTCCTCACGAGATCAGCACACTGGGTCCTCAAATGACAGAGGTGGTAGTGACAACAAATGTGGCCTAGCTAGCTTTCTCTAGACCTTGTTATATTTTTTTTAAAAAATGTATGTGTATGTGTGTTTGTGTCTATGTGGGTCTGAATGTACCATGCATGTAGAGTTGCCCGGGGAGACTAAAAAAGAGAACTGGGTTCCCTGGAACCAGAATTACAGGCAGTGTGAGCTCTCCAATATGGATGCTGGGAACTGAACCTGGATCCTTTGCAAGAATGATGAATGCTCTTAACTACGGAGCCATCTCTTCAGCCCCACTCTAGCCCTTTTGTAGGATACTAACTCATCCTTGAGGGCAAAGTCTTCGCTAGAAAACTTCCCAGAGACCCTACCTCATAATACTGTCATATTAAGTTCCAATATATAGACTTTGCAGGGACACAAGCATTCATATTAAAGCATCCTAGAATAACAATATCTGTAATAGAGGCTGGTGAGAAGGCTCACAGGATAAAGTCACTTGCCATTAAGCCTAATAACCTGAATTACTTCACTAGAATCCAATAGTAGAAAGAAAGTACTGAAAGTTGATCTCTACCCTCCATACCCATACCACAACCATAGTACCCTCCATAATACACAAAATAAATAAATAGAAGTAAAAAAATAATCTTGGTGATATCCCTTAAAGAAACATGTGTAGAAAGGGAGATACATGCAATAATTTTTGTAATAGGATTACTTGTCACAAGGAAAAAAAACTGGAAACATCCCAATATCTAGCAAAATGAGAATGGATAAATATACTGTGATATAATCATATAATAAATTGTTGTCCCACAGTGAAAATCAAGTGAAGTAGCTATACCTATCAATGTAGATAACTTTCCTAATTATAACATCAAGCATAAAAAGGCTCAATATGAGATAATATTGAATAATTACATGAGAATATAAATTAAAAATGAGAACAATACATATCAGTTATATAAAATAAAATATACTAAAATATGTGGAGGTGGTAAACATAAAATTTAGAATAGTGTTTCTCTCAAAGTAAAAAGTATGAGAAATCATAATACAAAAGGATGATTTTTTCTGAAGCTGAGACTAGGAACATATCTATTTAGCAAATCATCATCGTCCTTGCAGGCCTGAATATTTCATAATAAAAAAAATAGGCTTTTAAAATAGCAATTACTAGGAAATTATAGAGGCTCTGTATCTTGTTCTCTTATCTCAGCAATAGTATTTATTGAGAGTTATTACTAATTAAAACATGTCAATAGCTACTTTTCAATCATATTAGAAATTAATATAGAGAAAAATTCAGGATGATTCTACTTTTATCTATATTCACAAAATAACAGAAGCAAAATGAAGTAGCATAGAAATATGTACACACAATCCTATTCTGCTCGCCTACATTATTCTTCAGTGGATTCTATCTGAAAAGATCCCAAAGTACTTTATCTCCATGACTATGTCAGGAAAAACAAAGCACACCTTAATGTTCCCATTAATTCTCCCAATCCAGTCAGCTCAGCAATCATAGGAACAGAAGAAAGTATCCAGTGTTTTATTGTTCAGAGTGTGAGCCAGCCATGTCCTGGGTCCCCAGGGTCAAGACAGTTCCACCAGAATAAAAACTTTACAAATCTTGGTACTGATGTCATGAAAAGTGGGTTGTTTTCATTCTCAGTTAGACTTTCAAAATTGTTTGGAAAACTAGTTATATTCTTCCCCACCCTCATGGCAGTTATTTTATGTCTTTTAATCTTTCACATAATTCTCTGATCCCATCAGTTCTTCATTCTGGCAGTATTTCTTTTCTCCCATGGATGATGGAGGCCGTTAGATGGAATATCTCCCATTTACTGTGCCCTCGGAAATATCTTAGCTCATTCTACCTCCTCTGACACACAGGACCTCATCTCACTCCTGTGTCTTCTGTTTTTCTTTCAACTTCACCTCCTGCTTCTCATCTCTAATATAGTCATATGAAGAAAGGAAAGAAGGAAGCAGGAGGAGAAAGTGAGGTAGGAAGGCGGATGGGAGAAAGGGACCGGGGCTGGATGGAGTTGGAGGTCAACCTTGTCTCAGAGATAAAGAGTGCACAGAGTAGCAACAAGTGAAGTATTTAATAAAGGCTCTGAGTTGCTCGACTGACTTCTGATTGTGTCAATAGAAGGTGCTTTTATGGTTCAAGTGATTGTCCTCCGGCTTTTGTTTTGATGGTGTTCAGGTAAACCACATAAAAGGATGTGAAACCATTTGAGGCTTTTATTGTTGTTAACTGTATTCTAAAGTCACCAATTAAATTCTATTTTGAGTATTTCTTATATTTTTTAATTAAAAATCATGTATATGTGTATCTATGTGTGGGCATGTGCACACAAGTGTAGGTGCCCACAGGTGCCTAAGACATCTGATCCCACTGGAGCAGTAGTTACAGGTCCCTGGGAACTTTGTCCTGGGAACCCACCAGGGTCCTCTGCTAGAGCAGTATAAACGCTCAGCTACCAAACCATCATCTCTGCATCACGGCACTTCTAGTACTTCTTACATTTATTTATTTACTTTTTTCTTCTCAGTGGGTTCGACAAAGGGCTCCAAAGCTCTCAAGAATGTTGTGCTTAAAAAACCTGCAAAAGTGATTCTTGGTATAGATGAAAGTGATCTGAGGTCCAAAGTACAACTGCCGTGGAAGAAAAATCTTAATTTGAGGATAGAGGAAAGAGCCCAGGCCATGCATCAGAAAATATTACAGAACGATAACCTGAAAAAGGATCAGGAAAAGAAGGTTACAAAAAAGCTCCCGAGGGATGACTTGGCTAAAGAGTGGTTCAATACTGACAGCATGACACTGACGACCCGGGCGTACTTGCTGGACAAGCTTCTACCCACCCTGGTTCCGGGAGTGGAACAGATGCTAATGCAGGTGGAGAAGAAGAAGCTTTTGAGTCAAGCTGACATCCCAACCAAGTTTGACCCAATTAATTATCTGGGGGAATATTTAATGAGACACAACACTCATTATGTCAAAGACCCAGGAATGTCTGGCTACCAGAGGGTGCTGAAAGAGGTCACAGAAGAACTGAAGGTTCATGTTCCTGATACGATCAGCAACAGGTACGGCTTGCTGTGGGCTCCACTGATGATCTTTCTCCTTACACTGAAAAGCTGGTAGAACAACAATGTGAACACAGACAGGACTTGAAAGAAATGATTTTATATTTAGACAAGAAGCACTTGTTGGCTGGAGTGGGGTGGGGAAGACGTGGCTCGCACCGGTGATCCTGGCACTTGAGAACTGAGGCTAATTCAGTTTCCTTTTAATAATTCTAATGAGTGGAAAATTTATTTTATATGATACACATCTTTCTTTTCTGAAATGTGTGTGTGTGTGTGTGTGTGTGTGTGTGTGTGTGTACATACCTGTGGCATATGTTGGAGGTCAGAGGACAACTTTCGGGAGTCAGTTCATACCCACCCTTCACCTTTTTGAAGCAGAGTATCTTTTGTTTCTGTTGCTAAGCTATGTGTTCCAAGCAAATTCAAGGTTACATAGTAAGGCTCTGTGTTTTTTGAGTTTCTGTTATGATTTATATTTTTTCAAAGCACTACAAAGTCTAACAAATTAAAATGAGTTTGTTTTATTGAGACTGAGTTTTGCTTTGCAGTTTGAACTGGGCTTAAATTTATTGTGTAGTCCAGGTTGGCCTCAAACTCATGGGAATCCTCCTGCCTCTGCCTCCCAAGTATTGGAATTATAGCCTATGCCATCACACCTAGCTAGTTACTTGAATGTGATTGTCATATTAGGATTTCAAGTGTATATTTATCTAAAGACTCTGTACTAAAGAGTAACTGAACTCAAAAGTTAAAGTATATATTTTAAAAAGCTGTATAGTATGCCAGGCACAGTGAACATGCCTTTAGCCCTAACACTTAGGAGGCAGATGTAGGTGGATCTCTGTGAGTTCAATGCCAGCCTGATCTACATAGTGAGTTCCAGGACAGCCAAGGCTACATACTGAGACCCTGTCTCAAAAAAACAAAACAATAGTTACATAGTGGATAGCTTTCTTTCTCTTGTCCCTCTGTCTACCCAGCAGCTATCTCTGCTGTGGATGACTGCTAATCTAAGAATCCTTACAGAGATTATTTTAATGTATACATTAGCAAGTACAAATATAAATTCTCAGTTTATTTCTTTTTTTTCTTTTTTCTTTTTTTTTGTTTTTGTTTTTTTTTTTTTTTGAGACAGGGTTTCTCTGTATAGCCCTGGCTGTCCTGGAACTCTGTAGACCAGACTGGCCTCGAACTCAGAAATCCGCCTGCCTCTGCCTCCCAAGTGCTGGGATTAAAGGCGTGCGCCACCACCACCTGGCCTCAGTTTATTTCTATTATAAAAACATATGAATTGGAAATAGCCCCACATTTACACTTATCTTTTGTTATGCAGCTGGATTTAACTTTTATGGCCTCTCATTTTAAGACACTTACCTATTAAAATATTACAATTACATATTCTTCTGGTACTATGATTTTTTTTTTTGAGACAGAGTCTCACTATGCAGTCCTGTTTGGCCTGGGACTTGCCACATAGACCAAGCTGGCTTTGAACTCACAGAGATCCACCTGCCTCTGCCTCCAAAGGCTGGAGTTGAAGGCATGTACCATCACACCGATTATGATCATTTTTATTTTAAATATTGATCCATTTATAATTTATGTTAGTGTAATATGTAAGATGCAGATCCAACTTTATTCTTTTATGAATGGCTTCTTACTCATCCCACTAAGACCTATTGAGACAATCCCATGCCCAGAGGAATGTCTTTAACAAGGACAAGCATTTCTACATGTGCTTGCCTTCTTCTGTATCCATCACTGTTGCCTTCAAGTTTTTATGTGTACATAACTTTGATTTGTTACAGGTTATCTTATAAATTTTATTCCTATTACAAGTGGTATTCTTCTTTCATTACATTTTAGGGGGGGTCTGGAAGTAGTCTGAAGAAATGAAAACTATTAATCTCTATATACATTTGTTCTCTGTTGTCTTACTAACTTATCTTATAGCAAAATTAAATTGCTGTATTGGATTTCTTAGGGAAACAACTCTGCCATTTTCAAACACTATTCTTCCTTTTTCATCGTCAATTTTCATGCCTCTGATATCTGTCTCTTACCTACTTGCATTGACTATTACCTCTAATTCAGGGGTGCACAGCGGTGGATGTGGGCGCATTCTTGTCTGTCTTGCTTTAGTAGAAATGCTTCTGTAATACTGCTTCACTTGCTTCCCCATCAGCATCTTACTTTACATGTTCATTCTATTTGGATCGGAAATCAAGTATCGTCTTACAACAAAAACAAGACGCAGGACCCTAGTTGAGGAACTCTTGACAGTTAACGGCTTCTCAGGAACGGAGAGATAGTTTTCTTTTTCTATTTATTTACCTTTATTTTATGTGATTGGTGTTTTGCCTACATGTATGTCTATGTGAGTATCAGATCTTAGAGTTACAGTTAGGAGCTGTCATGAGGGTGCTGGGATTTGAACCGGGTCAACTAGAAGAAGAACAGTCAGTGCCTTTAACTGCTGAGCCATCTCTCCAGCCCCAGAGAAACAGTTTTCTTAAGGCAGGTTAGCTATGGGGTGGACACACACCTGCGAGTATATGGGTAGCACAAACTGAACTCAATGTGTCATATTAAAAAATATGAATAAATAAAGCACATAAAATTGATGAGGTGAGGGTTAAATGTGACTAAAATACATTTTATACATGTATAAAATTCTTGAAGAATTAATGAAAGTAGTATATTAATAATAATGTAGCAGCTGGAGATTAGCTCAGGAGCAGAGCATTTGTCTAATATGGACACCCTGGCCTCAATCGAGGTATGCATCACAGTGCTAGCCTTTGGATTTTGTCTTAAGGCTGAAAGTTTGGGCTCCCAATGACATTGACATAGTTATTGATTTGCTTTATCCTATTATTTGTATAGCATAGCCTCAAAATAATAGTGACAGAAACCTATGACAATAAAACCTAGATCAGTCTTTAAATTTATCCAAAGCTATTTATATAATTAAAGGAGGTCATACTTAGACAGAAGAAAGCTGGGCATGGTGATGCATATTTACAGTCACAGTATTTGAGAAAGTAAGACAGTAAGATCACTGCCAGTCTGAGACTAGCCTGAGGTACATAGCTTGTTTCAGGGAGGACAGCCTGGGTTACAGAGTGAAATTTTGTTTCAAACAAAACAACAAAAACTATCTCTGAGGAAACTAAGGTATGTTTGTTTGTTTTATGAGTATGAGTGTTTTGTCAGGGAATCACATGTATGCCTGGTGCCTATGAAGGCCAGAGAAGCACATCAGATGCCCTGGAACTGAAGTTACAGATGCTTGTAAGCCACCATTTTGGATACTAGAAATCGAACCTGGGTTCTTAATGTCTGAGCCATTTTTCTAGCCCCACAAATCAGGATGTAAAATCTTTTATTTACACCAAGGAAAAAACTTTTTACTTTGTTTACAATTTCTTTTTAATTAGTGTGCACAGTAGTGGGGTTTCCCTGTGACCTTTTCACGCATTCCCACCCCACATTACTTGTTCCTGTTTCTTCTCCCTCGCATTGTTTCTACCTCCTCTGATACAGATAAAACCTTTTTGAGCAGCCGGGTGGTGGTGGCACACGCCTTTAATCCCAGCTCTTGGGAGGCAGAGGCAGGTGGATTTCTGAGTTCGAGGCCAGCCTGGTCTACAGAGTGAGTTCCAGGACAGCCAGGGCTACACAGAGAAACCCTGTCTCGAAAAACCAAAAAAAAAACACCTTTTTGAGCCACGACTCGAAATCATGAAAATATTGTCACAGTTGGTTACATAAGCATTGAAATATGTCTGCTTGGCAAATTGAGTCACTACTGCTCAGTGTCACTGCTTTTATACAGAAGCAGCGACAGCCAACAGAGAAATGACTCAGAGTGACCACGTGCCCTTGAAACTATTTATGGGTCACAAAATCCAAATTTCACATAATTTTCATACAACACAAGATATTAGTATTCTGATTTAAAAAAAATACCTCTTCGAAATGTACCTACCAGCTTTCTAGCCACATAAAGCCAACCTGTGAGAAAGCTGGGTTTGGTTTACTGAGCCCTAATATAAATAATATTTATAAGGTCTCTCCAAGATCTAAAGAACAATATACCTCAAAGTTCATAACCTCCCCCCAAATCTCCATATTTTCCTCTGAATGTCTTCTGGTATGGAAACCTACACAAAATTGATTAAAAAGCATAAAATTCTTTGTATTTTATTCAATATCTTCTCTATAGGGTAAATACCTAATTATATGTGTATATATGAAATTTTATTATTTTTATTTATTGGTAGTGCTAAAGTTGAAACCCTCAACCTTGAGGATGCTGGTCAAGCACTCTGCTACTGCCATTGAGCTACATACATAAGCTCTAATAATTCTCTTAGGATTATATATATATATATATATATATATATATATATATATATATATATCCCTGTGTAAGAGAACTCCTAGGAGCAGGAACGCAAACAGAAAGCAAAAGCACACACTATGGAGGAATGAGGCTTGCTATCAGAAACAACAGAGGTGCACTGCTCACTGGTTTGTTCACTAGCTCATGCTTAGCTACCTTTTTCATAGATCCCAAAACAGCCTGCCTAAGGAATGGTGCCACCCTTAGTGGGCTGTGCCCTCCTGTATCACTTAGTAAGCAAGATAATCTCATTGACCTCTCTGATGTAGACAACTCCTCAATTGAAGCTTCTCCTTTGAGAAGATTCTAGGTTGTGTCAAGTTGACAACTAAAAATAACCAGTACAATGTGGAAGTGAAACTTCTTCTCAATAGAAAGAATGGTTTAGAAAGGTAATTCCCTATTTAGTACACCAAAATTATCTAGGGTGCTTGGTTAAACATAAAGACTCTATACACAAGGCCCTGGATTTCATAACTGACACCCACATGTCCCAAATGTTTGGATTCCTGCATTATTCCTCATGTTTTTCTGAATCAGGTCCTCTGGGCACATATTTAAAATAAATCCCACTGCAGGTTATTAGGTA